CAGTGGCCACCTCATTCCCCAGATCTTAATTCTTGCGAATTTTTCATATTAGAAAACAACGGTATACGAGGTTCAGATAGGCAATGGCAATCAACTATTGCACAGGTTTCAAAATGTTGTAAATACAATAAAGACATGACAAAGTTAACTATAATGTGAAGACTTTGTGAATGAACCTGATGGTGATGGTACTCTTCCGAACTTATCCAGCCCTCATAGATGCCTAGCGACCATCTGTAGCATAGATTTTCAACCTCAGGACATTGAGAGGCACCTTACTAAACTGAAAACTTGTTCGTCCCCTGGAAAGGATGGGATTACTTCTGCCGTTATGAAGTCCTGTGCCTCAGCTCTCGCATACCCCCTGTGCATTATATTCAACTCCTCGATTCAAAATCACATCCTTCCTTCCTGTTGGCGTACTGCTTCTGTGACACCTATATACAAAACAGGAGATAAAACATCTGCGAAAAACTACCGTCCTATCAGTCTTGTGCCTATAGCTGCGAAAATAGCCGAAAAGATCGTCCAGGAACAACTTATGACATTTGCGTTCAAGAACAACCTGCTGCCTAGCAACCAACATGGTTTTATTCCTGGTAGATCAATTATCACCAACATGTTACACTGCATTGACCAGATCTTTAGACGCAAATGAACCGGTCGACGTGGTTTTTTCTGGATTTTTCCAGAGCTTTCGATCGAGTTCCGCATAAAAGGCTCCTGCACAAGCTTGAACATCTCGGAATCAGGGGAAATTTGTTGTTATGGATTGAAGCTTTTTTGTTAGACAGATCTTTCTCCGTCCGTGTTGGAGACGCCTATTCTTCTAGTCATCGTGTTACTAGTGGAGTTCCACAAGGATCTGTGCTAGGGCCAATACTTTTTCTTCTTATACAAGCGACCTTCCCACCCGACTTTATTCTATGTGTTCCATCTATGCAGATGATACTAAAGTCTATAACACTGTCATGAACTCATCTGTGCTTCAAGAAGACCTCAAGCTGATCAGAAAGTGGTCAGAACTCTGGCTTCCTGCCTTTAAATCTATCGAAATGCTACGTTCTCCACCTGGGAAAGAATAATCCTAACTTAACATATAAGATTGGCAAACATACCTTAGAGTCTGTTCTTCATCACACAGATCTTGGTCTGACAGTTAATGGCCGGCTCACCTGGTCGGAGCACATTCAGAACATAACCTCTAAGGCAAAGCGGTTGCTATATATGATGGAAAGGTCATTTAGCGGTTGCACCGTTAGTACCTCCTCCTTTTTATACACAACTTTCGTACGACCCCTACTGGAGTTTGCTGGTCCGGTATGGGATTCAAACCTTGTTCGCGATAGCAGCTTATTAGAGGCCGTTCAGCGTCGTGCAACACGTATGCCATATGGCACACGTAGGCCAAGTTATGAAGACCGCCTCGAGCTATATAACCTGCCTGCTTTGCTGATAGAAGAGTACGAGGAGATCTCATCATCACTTTCAGAGCACTGCATAATTTGTTTGGTGTGGACATGTCGCATCTGTTTCGTCTGGCAACGAACAGTCTCAGAGGCCATAACTTCAAATTGCAGAAGGAAGCTTTTAGAACCTCTACTCGTCAGCGCTTCATCTCAAACCGTGTCTTCGATGCATGGAACAGTCTTCCATCTTATGTAGTGAACTCGGAATCCGTCAACAGTTTCAAAAACAATTACGATAGACACCGCAGTGCTTAACATATTGTTCCCATTCTGTATATGTCTACTTCAGAGTGCTAAGATTGTCAAATTGTTATATTTCTTTTGTCTGTACACTATTATCTATTTTTGTGTTTGAGTTTATAGTACTTGTACTCAACTCAAATTTGTTGTTTAATAATAATAATAATAATAATGTTTTGCGCCGTATTGTTATGTGCACGAACGAAAATTGTAGTCATATTGAACACCTTTTATGAAAGATCCGTACTATTGCCTGCATTAAATAAATAATACTTGTTTATTTAAATGAAATAAATAAAAAGATCTGCTAAATAAAAAAAAACAGAGTCGGCGAAAAATTGCAAAAAATTCTGCTATATGGGTGGGGGTAGTTAACCTTCTCAAACCCCTTCCGGTATCTTGTAAAAGTCAAATATCAGGACGTCTAGCAAAACACGTGTTCTAAATTTTATTCAAATTGGACTATCGGTTCCAAAAAAAATGTGTTTGAAAAAGAAATCTTTGACGCCCTCTAACGTACCAACGAAGCTCTTTTGGATAGAAGTAAATCAGGTCCAATCAACTTATTTTGAGTCTAAAACATGGTATTTCTATGACCTCGTAATATTGGTCTGATATGATTAGCTTGTACTGAACTATTTGTTGGCTTTCTGCAAAAATATCTTAAATGCCGTTGTAGCCAATTAATATCAAGCAACATGAAAACGGTAAATAGGAGAAAATATCGAAAATTGAATGGCCTATCAGACCGATTTAGAGGCCCGAGTAAAAATGTAAAGTATTTTTAGAATTGTAATCGTGAAAATTTTCAAAAATAATGTAGATTTTTTTAGTGTTATATGACGTACATGACGAAAAACCAAGTCTCTTATTTCTGTCAGTCTGTCTGTGTTCTGTTGTTCTGGTACGGTATTACAGGCGCTGTCATGCCTGACCGAGTCAAGTATCGGGGAGAGGCTATGTTTCCAGATGCACTACCAGTAAGGCAGAGAAATAATGTCTATTGCTATGAACTGATTGTATGGACCATTTTTCATACATGGTCTAGTTATATGAATATAGTCCTAACTGATAACGGCGTTGCGTGGGAAGGGCAGAGCCAACCTACTTGACGCGATTTTTTGACTTCCTCTGGCAACCTTACTTCGGTATATGTTAGTCATATTAAGGCGAATTTCAGGGCAGGATTAGCGAGAAAATTGAACAGTTACATAATTTATCTCGAACCTTCAAACTTTGAGAGCGTCCCAGACGGAACCGTTCTATCTAGAACTCAAAGATTTCTGTCTCCTTCAGAAAAATCTGA